CCTCAAATATCCTTGCCAGTGCCTGGGCGGTGCCACCAGCCAGTGCCTTCAGTACCCTTGGATGGAGCTCATCCGGACCTGCCGACTTAAACACATCCAGTCCTTCCAAGCGACTCTGCAACATCTCAGGGTCAATGCTTGGTAGTCTGGCGCCCTGCTGTTGCCTCTCTACGATCCCATTGGGAGACTTGGCTTGCCCCTCGTTTAGGAACACTGAGGCAAAGAACTCATTGAGGAGTTCAGCCTTGTCCCCTCTGTCTGTCACCAATTGCTCTTGCCCATTCAGTAGTGGTCCTATACTGCCCTGGGCCTTCCTTTTACTCCCTAAATAGCTGAAAAACTATTTTTTGTTATCCTTAACGTGGGATGCCATCCTCAGCTCCATGGTAGCTTTGGCCTTTCTAACTGCCTCCCTACAACTGCAAGCTGAGGAGGTATACTCCTCTTTAGTAATCTCTCCCTGTTTCCACTGCTTATATGCCCCGCTTTTTGCCTTTAGGCTGCTCTAGATTTCTCTGGTCAGCCAAAGAAGTCTCTTGGACCCTTTCTCCCTGCATCAGGATCATCTCCCTCTGTGCCCAAAGGATCGCTTCCTTAAGGCACAGCCACTCTTCCTGGGCTCCCATCTTGCCAAATCTCTTACTCTGCAGTGTGTCATTGACTAACCTCCTGAGCTCGCTGAAGTCAGCCTTCCTAAAGTCTAGCACTTCCATCCTACTGGTTACCTTTCCCACTCTACACCTTACGGTGAATTCTGTTATTTGATGGTCGCTCTACCCCAGGTGACCACAGATCTGTAGGTCCCCTACCATGTCATCCCCCATTGCCAATACCAGGTCCAGTAAGGCATTTCCCCCTAGTGGGACCATGTACCTCCTGCGTCAGGTGGAGGTCCTCTACACAGGATAGGAACCTGCATTAACAGTGGGAATTTGCTGTGTGTGTGCTCGCAACAGATGTCAGGGTAGTTTAGGTCCCCCATGACTACCGCTTCCCTAGCTTTATGGTCTCCGAGAGCTGCCTCCGAAGTTCCAAATCTAGTTCTTCCCCTTGGTGTGGGGGTCTGTAGCAGACCCCTACCACCAAATCCCTTTCCTCTTGACCTCCATGTAACCTAATGCAGTGCTTCTCAAACTATCCGATGTGGTGGACCGGCCATTTTTTATTTTTTTTCCAGTCGGCCAGGGACTGGTGCCCAGTTCAGCCAGTGGCAGCAACTGCGTGCAATAGCGCTACACAAATGCGCGACTGGCTGTTTCTTTCTCTTTCCTCACCTCGCATGACGTGAAATTCCCTGGGGTGTTGGAACATACGAACTGTGGCGCTATGACATATCAATGTTATGCTTCTGAAAATATATTTCTTTCTTTCCAGGCAACTCGCTGTGGACTGGCGGCCGGTGGCTCGCGGACCAGCACCGGTCTGGGGACCACCACTTTGAGAAGCACTGTCCTAACCCACGATCCTACTTTCTCCTCCTCCGATTCCATTTTGATAAGGGTCGATGTATAACACTCCTTGACATAGAGCGCAACCTCCTCCCCCCGCCCCACTCTATCCTTTCTGTACAGCTTATAGCCCTGAATGTGTACCACTCAGTGGTGAGTAGAGTTCCACCAGGTTTCTGTTAACTCCACTGAGGCGTAAATGTTTTCTGCAAGCAGGAGTGCTAGTTCATCCTGCTTGCTCCCCGTTCTCCTAGCATTAGTGTATAGGCACTTGAGCCCTGCGACTGGAGCCTTTGTTGCCCCCTGGCTCTGATGCCGTGTGGGCCCCTGATTGCTTACCTTCTTATTGCTTACCTGTGCTGTACTGCTGGATGTCCCATGGATTTCAGGTTCCAGAAGTTGTCCTCCTTCTGCCTCCCCGTCCCCTGTCTGAGCTAGTTTAAAGCCCGATGTAGGAGATCAGCCAACCTGTGGGAGAAAAGACTTACCTTTCGCTGAGAGGTAAAGTCCACCGCGCCCCAGGGAGTCCCTTGCCAGGAAGTGTGGGTCGTGGTCTAGGAAGCCAAATCCTGCACGATGGCACCAACTCCTGAGCGGCAGGTTGACCTCTTTGATGCAGGCGCTGTGATGCCTACTGCGACCTCTGACCGGGAGGATGGATGAGAAGACCACCTGCACCCCCATCTCCCTACGCCTGGCCCCCAGAGCCTTGTAGTCACCCATGACACGGTCAGGACTACTCCCGGCTGTATCATTGGTTCCCACGTGGATGAGTAATTTGCATATAGGCTAAGTACTC